AGAATGCTCCGTGGATGCAGCTTGAAGATCCACATGCCATTCTCCACCACGTGGAGGGTGGACCAGATGGAGTCAGGACGGCTACTGAGGATGAGTTAGAGTTCAGGGACCATCATTCCGGTGGTGGAGCCTGAACTCGGGGTAGCTGGACAGAAGCCCAGGAGAGCGGAGACAAGGCAGCCGATTCTAGAGACGCCGAGGACGCAGGAGGACTAGGACCAGCCTTGGCTGAGCCATGCCAGGGAGAAGAACTGAAGCTGGGCGTCTGCTGGGGCAGCTGGGTGCACGGTGGTGCCGCTGTCTGATGACCAACACAAGGAGGAGGGTGTGGACTCCAGGGCTGGTGGGGGCCTCTCGTCATCAGCTGGACACATGGGTGGGATCCGCAGAGAGATGGGGGTGTGGGCCTCACCAGGTGGAGACTTGGGGGTGGGTGGCCTTTGCTGAGCTTGGACGGTGAGAGCAGATGGCTGGGGCCAAGGCAGCAGGCATGGAGGAGAGGCGGGTGGAGAAAGAACAGGATGGTGGCCCGGAAATTAGGACGGGCTGGTCAAGGCACCTGTGGGACCCCTGGTGTGGGGACCGAAGCCAGGCTGAGGCCGTGGCGCAGCGGAGCAGTTGCAGATGGGCCAGAGGGAGGCACAGCAGGGATGCCGGGTCAGGGAGATGTCTGACCACTCAGCAGAGCCCACGGCAAAGGGGAGAAGAAGCAGGGGCAGATGGGACGGGGCGTACGCAGAGCGGCGGGGTTGGCGCAGCTCTGCGGGAGCCCTGTGCCCGCGGCTGGAGCCAGGTAACAGAGGGGCCGCGGGTGCTAACAACTCGAGGGCAGCCTGGGGAGCAGGAGTGGTTCTCACACCCTCCTAGGGTCCAGCCTGTCTGAGGGTCCAGCCTGTGTGGGCATGCAGGAACTCTGACCTTGCTGCCCCAGACCTTTCAATTTTTCAAGAGAAGCCAGAAATCTGTGCTTCTCCATGGAAGGTTCTGATTTCCAAAACAATGACCAGAGTGAGGGTGTAAAGAATTTTCTGTGATAAAGCGTGTAGCATAAGATGGGAGTGTGATAACACAGTGGTGTCTGGGAGGGGCCCTCGGACTTGCTCAGCTCCATTTAAGCTCCCCCTCTGCCCCACCACGAAATCTGACCCCCCAGGTATTTTAAAATGTCACTGTAAATCTTTGACTTATTAGTTAACAATCAAAGTCCAAAGAGTGGCTTCTGCCTCCATACATGTGGGCCACACCCTCCACTCCATGGTGTCCATGGACAAGGAAGACAGGCTAGTGGACCTTTGAGTACTGATGTTTTATCCATCAGAAGTCTGCTTTCTGGTGTTGCATATAAAGAAAAGACTCATTTAGTTTTTTAACAGATATTTAAGAGATGACCTTGGAATCATTCATTAAGCAATCCTCCCTTTTCTTCCTAATTATATCCCTCATGATCTGATTTAGAATTTTCTATCTAAGAGCCAGAGATAGAGGTAGTTGAAGAGCCGACTCCTTGGAAAAGACCCTGATGCTGGGAAAGATTGAAGGCAGGAGGAGAAGGGGACCACAGAGGACAAGATGGTTGGATGGCATCACCCACTCAATGGACATGAGTTTGAGCAAACTCCGGGAGATGGTGAAGGACAGTGAAGCCTGGTGTGCTGCAGTCCGTGGGGTAGCAGAGTTGGACACAACTGAGCGACTGAACAACATGCTGTTTTCACACTGTCCCATTGACTGAGTGGCGGCACTCATTTTTAACATTTATTTTCTTAAACCATTACTTTCACTTTATTGTATTTTCTCATCTCCAAAATGGCAAGTCCTCTTCACTACTCCTCTCGTTTCTTTTTCCTGAACCGCCTTTGATATTCACATCTGTTCATACTTAAAGATGATTTTAAGGATTATTTCACTCTGTTTTAAGGAAAATAAGATTTGGTGAGATTTCACCTGTGAACAAAGCTTCCCTGGTTGTGCTGGTAGTAAAGAACCCGCCTGCCAGTGCAGGAGCCATAAGAGACGTGGGCTTGATCCCTGGGTCGGGAAGATCCCCTGGAGAGGGCATGGCAACCCACTCCAGCATTCTTGCCTGGAGAATCCCCTGGACAGAGGAGTTTGGGGGCTACAGTCCATAGGATCACAAAGAGTCAGACATGACTGAAGCGACTTAGCACATGCATGCACAGCTATAACCAAGTTAAATTTTAAAATTTACTTGGAAATATTGATAGTTTTACAATATATCTTCAAGGGATGTTTTCGTGATTAATTGCTAGTAACACAGGGACTGGACCTTCGTCTCTTACACCTCCTTCATCGCCAAGTAGGTTCTTTACCACTCGTGCCATCTGGGAAGCCATATAGGAAGACTGCAGCTTTAATATCGTTTGAAATCCCTTAATCAATTATGCAGAACTTGGGCAAACTTCGGGAGATGGTGAGGGACAGAGAGGCCTGGCCTGCTGCAGTCCATGGGGTCACAAAGAGTGGACCCGATTGGGTGACTGAACATCACCAACCATCAATCATAATCTGGGTTTTCTAGGTTAGGGTCATGTTGTCTGGAAATCATGACAGTTTTGTCTACTTCTTTATCCATGTTTGAAGTAGGTAGTAGAGAGTGGCGTTCTTACTTCTCGGTGGTTTTAAAGAAGACCCATCTTCATCCCAGTCTCTGCATAATGTGAGTGATTCTGGTACTAACCACAGGGATGTCACAGGCTGTTGGCTGAGCGAGAGACCTTTTTCCTTACCTGAAGTCATGATTTGTTGGAAGTCACTGCTAGGAGAATCTACAGCAAATGGTATGGATTTTTTTGACTTGTTTTTAAATTTTTATTGGAGTACAGTTGATTTATAATGTTGTGTTAGACTCAGGAGGACAGCAAAGTGATTCAGCCATAGAGTCTTTACAAGATGTTGAGTGTAGTTCCCTTTGCTACAGAGAAGGACTTTATTGGTTGTCTATGTTATATATTGTAGTGTGTATGTATTTATTAATCCCAAACTCCTAAAGTATCCCCACTTGCCCCTTTGGTAAACATAAGCTTATTTTCTATGTTGAGTCTGAGATTATTTATATATTAATATTCAAATAAATCACTTATTTGGGGATGGCAAATGTATAAAAAGTTTGGAATCGTTTTTGGTCAAAACCTTTCGGCATCAGCGGGGCTCCCGTCATCACTGATACATTTCATCACCTGGCAACCTCTTGCACTCTGAGCATGGGCACACTTGCTTGTCTGCGGCATTCCCTCTCCTAATGTGCTTCTGGGTGCTATCTCCTGACTTTTCATTTGAGTTTTGTAACTACAGTAAAGCACACCACACACACAGTAGGTCACTGGCATACAGTTCTCCTCTTGTGGAAAGGAATTTGCCACTTTGTGAAATGAACTGGGAAATTCCCATGCCCTGAGACAGTTTACAAGCCACGAGAAAGCGCTGCTCCTGAGAGAAGTGGAAGACTCACGCTGGCACCGCATCTGAAGCCGCGGCTTTCTCTGAAGCATCTCTAACAGTCCTTGTGTTTATGTTGTGGGGACGTGGGGCCTTCTGTCTTGCCAGTTTTCTCAGAAAGTGGTGACGTTGAGACACTAATGTTGGCCATCACTAATGAGTGCCCTTAGGAATCCTCTAAGCTCTTGGCGTGTCATTTTCAGCTGTGAAATTAAGCTGTAAGAAAACCACTGCATAAACCTCTGCCTTTTCTTCTGATGATACTATTTATTTTGTGATTTTCTGTTTTGTAGCCTGTTAAAATATCGTCAGAGGGCAACCCGAAGCTCTAACAGTCCATCTTAATTCCGAATCGCTAGCCCGCACCCAAATGGGTTCACTGCTTCTCTTGTTGACGCCCCGTGGGAAGAGTCGTGGCCTCAGCATCTGAGGACCCGTGTGTCTTGCAGAGTCCCTGAACTTCCTCAGATTTTCACCTGAAAAATGTGAGCCTTCTTTCCCCATGGTCACGGTGAGGGTTACAAGAGGGGAATTATGTGAGTTACATCTGACACGTGATAAGGGCAGGGGTTGGGAAGACCCCCTGGAGGAGGAAATGGCAACCCACTCCAGTATCCTGGCCTGGAGAACCCCATGGGCAGAGGAGCCCGGCGGGCTGCAGTCTACAGGCGGGCTCTGGGGGACCCGCCTGCAGGGTGGAGAAAGCATGCCGGGGCAGCCCCTGGACTGGAGACACTGCCTATAGAGCTCTGCCTTCACACCGCTGTCACACACACCCCCTCACCCTGGTCGTGGGCTTGCTGGGCAGGCGGCTCCTCCCTCAGTGATGGCAAGCCCCTCAAGAGCGCTCTGGACTCCCCCATGCTGCTGCCCCAGCCCCTCTGCCTTCTGTTCTCTCTCCTCCAGAACCCCGCTGACACCTCTCCTTGCTGGCACTCCCCTCGGGAGTTTCTGATGTTGTGGGGCGTTATCTTTTCATCCTTTACCAGATCTCAAGGGGGCTTGAGGAGGCAGCTCTCTCCTGTTGCCCTGGGAGGCTCCTCTTGCTCTTCATGCCCCCAGCTCTGTGGAGAGATGCCATGGATCTGGGGTCTGGCTGGCCAGAGAGACCCATAAGCCCTACAGCCCCTGGTATCCCTTCCTCTTACAAAATCATCTCTGAAACCAGGTGAAGGACCAAGTACCTTCTGATGTATCCAAGGACTGTGTACAGCCCTTACGGTTATTAGACTCCTTGGGGAAAGTCCAGGTTATAAAACAATCAGATGATTTGAAGATCGCCTGGAGGAGGAAAAGGGCAGGGTATTCTGGAGCCCCACCTGCTCTCAGGGTGTACAGCCCCCAGGAGACCTAGAACTCCCACACTGAGTGCTTCAGGCTTAACTTAGAGACAGTTTCTACTCCCCTGCTGTCTGAGGAGACAGGCGCCCCCTCATTGGGTCAAAACCCACCCCCAGACTGACCTCTGCTTTCTCTCCCCAGCCGCCCTTGGCCATCATCTGCTGCAAAGGTTGTTTGTGGACCTAGATGCCCCGCACAGGAGGATGAGAGGGGAGAACATGACCCAGGTCAGTGCCTTCATCCTGGTGGGCTTCCCCACGGCCCCCTGGCTGCAGTACCTGCTCTTCCTCCTCTTCCTGCTCACTTACCTCTTCGTGTTGGTGGAGAACCTGGCCATCATCCTCACTGTCTGGGGCAGCCACTCCCTCCACAGGCCCATGTACTACTTTCTGGGCTCCATGTCTTTCTTGGAGATCTGGTATGTGTCTGACATCATCCCCAAGATGCTGGACGGCTTCCTCCTGCAGAGGAGGCGCATCTCCTTCGTGGGCTGCATGACCCAGCTCTATTTCTTCAGCTCCCTGGTGTGTACCGAGTGTGTGCTCCTGGCCTCCATGGCCTACGACCGCTACGTGGCCATCTGCCACCCCCTGCGCTACCAAGCCATCATGACCACGGGGCTGTGTGTCCAGCTGGTGGCCTTCTCCTTCATGAGTGGCTTCACCATCTCCATGATCAAGGTCTACTTTATCTCCAGCGCCAAGTTCTGTGGTTCCAACGTCCTGAACCACTTCTTCTGTGACATCTCCCCCATCCTCAAACTGGCCTGCACGGACTTCTCAACTGCAGAGCTGGTTGACTTCATCCTGGCCTTCCTCATCCTGGTGTTCCCGCTCGTGGCCACTGTGCTGTCCTACGGGCACATCACCCTTGCCGTCCTGCGCATCCCCTCGGCCACGGGCCGCTGGAGAGCCTTCTCCACCTGTGCTTCCCACCTCACCGTGGTCACCATCTTCTACACGGCCTTGTTTTTCATGTACGTCCGGCCCCAGGCCATTGATTCTCGGAGCTCCAACAAGCTCATCTCTGTCTTGTACACTGTCCTCACCCTAATCATCAACCCTTTGATCTACTGTCTGAGGAACAAAGAGTTCAAGGGCGCCTTGAAAATGGCTCTGGGCTTTGGTCGAGCTCCAGTGTAGCAGGCATGTCTGGGCTTTCATTTTGCTAATCTGAAATATCATCTGAAAATATACCTCTTCTCTTTGAGGACATTTATTTGTAATAATGGAAATGCATTGCATCATTGCAGTGCTTCATTTATTTTAAAATTTACGTCCACATTAGTTTTTCTCCTTCAGCTCATGGATGCTGATACAATAGCTGTGGGGATGATAATGTCATTATTTTCTCCATTTTCAATTCAGTTCAGTCTCTCAGTGGCGTCCAGATTTTTGTGGCCTCATGAACTGCAGCACGCCAGGCTTCCCTGTCCATCACTAACTCCCAGAGCTTGCTCAAACTCATGTCCATTGAGTCAGTGATGCCATCCAACCATCTCATCCTCTGTTGTCCCTTCTTCTTCTGCCTTCAATCTTTCCCAGCATTGCAGTCTTTTCCAGTGAGTCAGCTCTTCACATAAGGTGGCTGGGTGACTTTGGCATCAGTCCTTCCAGTGAATATTCAGGACTGATTTCCTTTAGGATGGACTGGTTGGATCTTCTTGCAGTCCAAGGGACTCTCAAGAGTCTTCTCCAACATCATGGTTCAAAAGCATCAATTCTTTGGCGCTCAGCTTTCTTTACAGTCTGACTCTCACATCCATACATGACTACTGGAAAAACCATAGCTTTGACTAGATGGACCTTTGTCAACAAAGTTATGTCTCTGCTTTTTAATATACTGTGTAGGTTGGTCATAGCATTTTCCCAAGGAGCAAGTGTTTTTGAGTTTCACAGCTGCAGTCACCAACCACAGTGATTTTGGAGCCCAAGAAAGTAAACTCTTTCACTGTTTCCATATCAATTTGCCATGAAGTGATGGGACCGGATGTCATGACCTTTGTTTTTTGAATGTTGAGCTTTACGCCAACTTTGTCACTCTACTCTATCATTTTCATCAAAAGGCTATTTAGTTCCTCTTCACTTTCTGCCATAATGGTGGTGGCATCTGCATATCTGAGGTTATTGACATTTCTCCTGGCAATCTTGATTCCAGCTTGTGATTCATCCAGCCTGGTATTTCATATGATGTAGTCTGTATAGAAGTTAAATAAGCAGGTGACAATATACAGCCTTGATGTATATACTCCTTTCCCGATTTGGAACCAGTCTGTTGTTTCATGTCCAGTTGTAACTGTTTCTTCTTGACCTGCATACAGATTTCTCAGGAGGCAGGTAAGATAGTCTGGTACTCCCATCTCTTGAAGAATTTTCCACAGTTTGTTGTGATCTACATACTCAAGGCTTTGACATAATCAATAAAGCCGGAGGTAGATGTTTTTCTGGAACTCAGTTGCTTTTTCTATGATCCAGCAGATGCTGGCAATTCGATCTCTGGTTCTTCTGCCTTTTCTAACTTCAGCTTGAGCATCTGGAAGATCATGGTTCACATATTGTTGAAGCCTGGCTTGGAGAATTTTGAGCATTACTTTGCTAGTATGTGAGATGAGTGCAGTTGTACATTAGTTTGAACATTCTTTGGGACTGCCTTTCTTTGGGATTGGAATGAAAACTGACCTTTTCCAGTCCTGTGGCCACTGCTGAGTTTTCCAAATTTGCTGGCATATTGAGTGCAGCGCTTTCACAGCATTATATTTTAGGATTTGAAATAGCTCAGCTGGAATTCCATCACCTTCACTAACTTTGTTCGTAGTGCTGCTTCTTAAGGCCCACTTGACGTCACATTCCAGGATGTCTGGCTCTAGGTCAGTGATCACTCCATCATGGTTATAGGGGTCATGAGGATCTTTTTTGTACAGTTCTTCTGTGTATTCCTGCCACCTCTTTTTAATAACTTCTGCTTCAGTTAGGTCCATGCCATTTTTGTCCTTTATTGCGCCCATCTTTGCATGAAATGTTCCCTTGGTATCTCTAATTTTCTTAAAGAGATCTCTAGTCTTTCGCGTTCTGTTATTTTCCTCTGTTTCTTTGCACTGATCACTGAGGAAGGCTTTCTTATCTGTCCTTGCTATTCTTGGGAACGCTGCATTCAAATGGGTATAGTTTTCCTTTTCTCCTTTGCCCTTAGCTTTTCCTTATTTGATGGCTAGGCAAAGTGAGACTTCCTCATCTTTAAAATTGCCCTGCCCATTTCAGGAAACAGCAAAAGATATCAGGATATCTGAGGTTTTCACGTCCTAAACAAAGTGCAGTGTTTCAGGGAATGGAGCTCTTGAACTCGGCAGTGAACTGAGCACCAGTGTCCACAGAGCAAAGTGTGTCTGGGAATCATCAGGCCTGTAGACTTTGGTTTAAATGCTTAAGTCCTGTTCCTCTCAGGTCCCGGCTCGACTCTACCCTTCTTTCTTCTGTATATAAGCCCCCACTCCTCACCCATCAGCTGGTGAGAAAATGAGTTTTCTTACTGCACGAGGTGATCCTGGTTGACCTGAAAGACACGCAGATGCTCAGGCCACTGGAGAGCCATGTCCAGAGACCCTGGCAGCCCTGCACGGTGCCTGTGGGCAATCCACCAACACTTATTGAACGAATTCTCCAAGGCACAAACAAGAGGTTGTAGCCATCTGCAGGGAGGAGCCAGCAGCCCTAACACGCCAGCCTCATGCTCCAGGGAGCCCACCTGGAGCCCGGGAGAGGGGCTGGCGTCTTAGAAGGGGCGTCTGTCAGGGGCACGGTCGCGAAGCCGCCACCTGGGGACCCCAGGTCAGAGCCCCGGGGCGTGGGCCCAAGAGTGTCCATGGCCCTCACAATGTCAGACAGATTTCCACACAGCTCTGACCAGCTCCACGTTCAAACCCTGGTCAGTCAGGCAGTGGGGATCAATAAGACATCATCTGAGCAGCACCCACACGACCAGCTGTGGAAACAGGAGGAAAGGGGCATGGGCCATAGAGACCACGGATGACCTCAGAGCTTTTCAACTGCTCGGTATGGGCCACCTCTCTCTGTGGAGGCCCCAGAGATCTGGCTTCCTCTTGCCTCTGTGTCTTGGGGTCTCTGCCCCCTAATCCTCCTGGGTCCTGCACCCATAGAGACACGCACAGGCCCGTTGTCATTCACTCTCTCACTAGGAGTCATGTAAAAGTCATCAGATTCAAACCAGCACGGGGGAAATGCCACGCGAGTGGCTTTCAAAGCCGGTGCCTGGTGCTGCCTGGACCCCCGTCGCATCTCTGCTCTGCACTTGTCCCTTCAGCCACGTGCATTTGCCACAGTTTGGTTCCCTTTCTGGTCATCCCTCTGTGACAGGCCCACAGTCCATGCCAGAGAAACAAGATGAGGGAGACTCAGCCAGCCACGGCGGCCCTCAGGTCCAGCAAGCGAGACAAGGCCTGGGTGGACCATGAACTCACTGGCCAGGTGCAGGGAGTGCAGTGTCCCCTTGGAGCCTGAGCGGGGAGCAGACCCAGTGGGACCACATGAGTGCGGGTCAGAGGTCGCAGAGGAGGGGCTCCAGGGGTCCCGCTCCAGGGATTCCTGCCAAGGGCAGGAAGTGTGTGTCCTGAAGACAGCGAGCTGCGGGCACCTGATGTCAGTGGAGGGAGACCCCGGGGCAGGAGGAGGGCGGCCCTAGGAGCGGAGGTCACTTACAGCCGCGGAACCCCCCCTGCCATGTGAAGCAACTCATCCGTCTCTGTCCACCCTTTAGCCTGCTCGGTCAGACCCCGTGGTCCCATGAGATGCAGCAGCGGGGCAGAGCACCTCCTGGATCACCCCTCGTCCTCCTGCTCCACCAGCCAGGGCGCAGCTCTGGCTTGGCTGAGGTGACTGCAGGCCACGCACAGAGTCCTGAGAGCCCATCTCCCTCCTGGGCGGCTGAACCAGAAACCGGTTCCGTCTCCTGGGAACCCCTCAGTCCACGGCCTCCTCTGGCCACCCCTAACGTGCTCACACATCTACCATTCACACGTGTAGTCTAAGCACTGCCTACGTGCCAGACAGGAGTCAGACAACTGGCGTTTGATGATGAACAAACAGACAAGAACCCAGCCCCATGCAGCTTGCCTTCTGTGTTGGGTAGAGAAACACAGAACACACACAAGGAGGATGCTCAGAGGGGTGCTCAGGGGCTCACGCTAAGGAGGGAAAACCCAGCAGGACCGGGAGGCCGAGAGACAGCCACCAAGGTTATCTGCTCCCCAGAGCCCGTGATTGTGACCTGGGTCCTTGTGGACAGAATCAGGGGAAGGGTCTGGAAATGAGGAGGTCCCTGTAGGTGTCCAGGGGGAGACACACAGGGGAGTGTACACAGAGCAGAGGAGGACTCCTATGACTCCTGTGAGCACAGAGGCAGAGATGGGAGGGATGCAGGACACGGGCCAGGGAGCCTGGAGCCGCGGAGGATGGAGAGGTGGCAAGGAACCTAGTCTGGGGCCTCTGGGAGGAGCTCTGCACTCCCACCCGATATGGGACTTTCGGAACCATTTCGTGTTGTGTTAAGCCTCCTAGTTTGTGGCGCTCTGTTTCTGCAGATCCAGGACACTAATCCAATGCGGAGGAAAACAAGACCATCTTGAGTTGGTGCGGGAAGGACAGTCCATGGGCAGCAGGAGTCCAGAGCCCGAGGCAGGAGGAGGGGCAGGGCCATCTGAAGAGCCCAGGAGCCCGAGCTGGGGAGAGAGGGAGGGGCCAGGATGGAGGAGCTAGAGCAGAGCGGAAGGGAGGGTCTGGGTGAGACCAGAGAGGAGACGCAGGCTCCCAGCGGTGGCCCAGCCTCCCCGCCAGGCCCCGCCTTCGGGACTGGACACTGAGGAGCTTCTGAGCCGGGAGGACCAGGGCCTGACCCTCTCCCATCGGTCCTGTGACTCTGCCTGGTCCACACCTGCCATCCCATGGCTCGGGTTTGGCCTGAAACCCTCAGCTCACAGCAGTCTGCTGTCCCTCCCCGCCACCCTCCTGTGCACGGAGGTGTGGGACCGAGGGCCGACTCAGGGACAATGGCTCCTCAAGCCGGCCCAGCACGCAGCCACCGAGCTGTGTGGCGTGAAACGAGGGCCACAGTGTGGACATGCAGACCTGCC